AGCACCCCCAAAACCAGCACCTCCAGGACCAGCACCCCCAGAACCAGCACCTCCTGTGCCAGCACCTCCAGCTCCAGCACCCCTCGAGCTAGCGCCACCTGCGCCAGCACCTCCAGCTCCAGCACCCACAGGACTAGCACCTCCAGTACCAGGACCTCCAGCTCCAGCACCCACAGGGCTAGCGCCACCTGCGCCAGCACCTCCAACTCCAGCACCCCTCGAACAAGCACCCCCGGACCGAGTTCCGCCAGTGGCTGCACCTCCAGCTCCAACACCAACCGAGTCCACAGTAGCCTGTCGCGGAATTACCGAAGGCTGCTGAGGGGACTGTGAGGAGGACTGCGGGGAGGGAGACGCTACCTGACGCGCAACCGAGGGTAGAGGGGTAGCGTGAGACACACCTGACGGGGCAGGACCAGGGGGGGGTGGGGGTACCGGAGGAGCGGGAGCAGGGGGAAGAGAGGGTGCGATGAAAAGGGGGGGAGGGGGAACCGGGAGACCTCGACAGGGGTACCGGGTGTAGTAGGACACTGACTCGTCCAACCGGACGTCACGGGAGTCTAGGAACTGGTGGAGGGGCGGGAAGTAAAAGGACCAGTCGGCCGAGGCTACCGGGAAACCAAGGAAGACACAGGGGACGGCGCGAGCCGAGAGCTTGTCCGCAGAGGTGTCGCGGACAAGCGCAAGGCAGCCCCAGACACGAAAAGCTGACCCAACACCAGGGGACCCGGTCCAAAGACTGGTCGGTGAAGCCTCTGGCCGCGAGACGCGCGGCTGGAGGTTTAGCTGGTGAGCGGCGTAGCGAACCGCGTAGGGCCACAGAAAATGGGGCGCACGGGCATGAATCATGGACGTGCGGGCGATGTCCATGACCAAGCCAATGCGGCGCTCAGCAACCCCATTCTGCTGTGGGGACTCCGGCAGCGTCCAAGACTGTACGATGCCCTGCTCGCCGCAGAATCCGGCAAGAATGCCTGAGCAAAACTCACCCCCACGGTCAGAGTGGAGACAGGAGACACGACGGCCACGAGTGCCTTCAATGGCTAGAAGCCACCGGATCAGCGTAGAAGTCACCTCGGACTTCTTCGCGAGAGGAAACACCGTGGTGTACCTGGAGAAGTCGTCGACGACCACCAGAAAGTAGCGCTCCCTCACAGGTCCCTGCGTAGGTGCAGGGCCCCAGACATCCAAGTGGAGTGTCTGGAAGGGAGCAGTGGCCGGACGAAGGGAGGAGGAGTGCGGAGTGGCACGAAGACGGCCGGCGACGCAAGGAGTGCACGGCGGCGCAGGCGAGGGAGGGAGCGACGGGAAGACGCGAGGGAGACCTGAGACAAGACGGTGACTAGCCATATTGCGGAGGCGGGGGATCAATGCGTGGCCAAGACGGTGGTGCAACAAGACGGTCCGGTGGGTGAAAGACCGACACGAGCAAGACTCAGCAACTAGACCAGACACAGCAACCTGACCGGACACAACAACCTGACCGGACACAGCAACCGGTGGGGACGCAGTAACCTGACCGGACTCTGCTACCGGGGGGGACGAAGCAACCTGACCAGACGCAGCTACCTGCGAGGGCGGAGTGTGCAAGACGAAGAGACCTGAGTGGGGATCTCTGGTGAACGTGGCAAGAACTGCCCCGGTGGAAGAGTCCGTACAGATCGCAGTCCTCCCGTGCGCAGGAAAAGTGACTGTGATCCCCCGGTTCTGAAGGTATCCAACACCCACCAAGTTCCGAGAGAACGAGGGGATGTAGAGACCAGTGAGGAAACCAGAGGGGACAGCTGGGCACGAGAGGGTGGTCGAGCTGCGAGAAACTGCAGGTCCTGAAGTAGGATCAGCCAGGGCAACTGGGACTGGAGCCGAAAGAGGTGTGACAGTGGTGTGGTCGCGGAAGAAGCACTGAGACGCGCCGGAGTCCGGCGTGAAGGAGAGCGACGCAACAGCAGTCGACACGGCTGGGCTAGTGACTACACAAGCACCTACACTAAAAGCACAAGTACCGACACTAGCAACAGGCAAAGGTCCTAAGCTAGGTACACGTAAGCCAAGAGATCCGTACGTGACAGAATAAACAGCATCCATAGACATATCAAACACAGGGTAACCACTATGAAACAAACCGGGCCAGATCGGGGGAGTCGACTCAGGCCCAAAACGCTCACGGTAAGGGTCGTCGAGGCGGCTGTAGCAGCGCTGTGCAGAGTGGTCAGGACGCCAGTGGGTAGTGCCAGCACCAGGGCCGGTCAGGATCCGGTACTGGCAGGGGCCGACGTCGCGGCCACCGCAACGAGCCCCCCAGCTGGCTGGGCCGCTGCTGCAGCCAACGCGACCTGAACCACCAGGCCCCCACGGCTGCTGAGGGCGCCACAGCTGCTGAGGGCGCCCCTGCTGCTGTGGAAGCCACTGTTGAAACGGCCGCTGCCGCTGTCCCTGCTGCTGGAGAACCCTAGTGGACTCCATGATAAAAGCTAGCGGGGTGCAGGAGCGGCAGGCTAGGAGCGACAGGAGCTAGGGACGGCTGCAGTGAAAAACGAGAACAACTAGGAGCGCCAGGTGAAACTAGGCGAGTAACGGCTGGAGCACGGAGCAAACTGAGCTAGAAGCGCCAGGTGAAACTAGGCGAGGAACGGCCGGAGCACGGAGCAAACTGAGCTACGAGCGAGGAGCGAGAACGGCTGGAGCGAGAACGGCTGGAGCTAGAACGGCTGGAGCACAACTGGCTGGAGCTAGAAACGGCGAGCTAGGGCTGGCTGGAGGTAGGAACAGCCGGAGCTAGAGACCGTAAGTGCGGCTGTCGGCTGCCGCTAGTAGAGCCACTGGCAGTGGAAAGTACGTGCGACAGTAGGGGCTGCAGTACTGATGGCTACGCGATGTAGGCAACTGTGCAGGTCGTCCGGCAAGCAGGAACGCGGGCGACAGTTAAAGGCCCCCACCCTAAACCCCTTTTTTATTTTTTTTATTTTTAGGGTTTAATTTATTTATTTATTTTATGGCACTAAAGCGCTCCGGGGCGCGCTGCCTGCAAGGTGTGCTGCCTGCGGGGCGCACTACCCGCGGGGAGCGCCGCCTGCGGGGCGCGCTACCCGCGCGGCGCGCTGCCTGCGGGGCTGGGGCGACGGGCCAGGGCGCGGGCTGGGGCGACGGGCTAGGGCGCGGGCTGGGGCGACGGGCTAGGGCGCGGGCTGGGGCGACGGGCCAGGGCGGGCGCCTGGGCGACGGGCTAGGGCGGGCGCCTGGGCGACGGGCTAGGGCGCGGACCTGGGCGACGGGCTAGGGCGGGCGCCTGGGCGACGGGCTAGGGCGGGCGCCTGGGCGACGGGCTGGGGTGGGCGCCTGGGCGACGGGCTGGGGTGGGCGCCTGGGCGACGGGCTGGGGCGGGCGCCTGGGCGACGGGCTCGGGCGGGCGCCTGGGCGACGGGCTAGGGCGGGCGCCTGGGCGACGGGCTGGGGCGAACGCCTGGGCGACGGGCTAGGGCGGGCGCCTGGGCGACGGGCTGGGGCGGGCGCCTGGGCGACGGGCTAGGGCGGGCGCCTGGGCGACGGGCTAGGGCGGGCGCCTGGGCGACGGGCTAGGGCGGGCGCTTGGGCGTCGGGCTAGGGCGTGGGCCTGGGCGACGGGCTAGGGGCGCAGGCTAGGGGCGCGGAGGGCGCTAACGCGCGGAGGAGGAGGGCGCTAAGGCGCGGAGATGGCGCGGAGGGCGCGGAGGCTAAGGCGCGGAGGGCGCGGAGGGCGCGGAGGGTGCTAGGGCGCAAGGGCGCGAAGGGCGCTAGGGCGCGAGCTAGGCTAGGCTAGGCGAGAGGATCGACACCTACTCATGATACCATCCAGGGCTAATTTTTGGTTTTTGCCAACCCTTACGATCAGTGTTGCACATGTTCAAAACCCTGATTATCAGTGTGACCCCTTGTGGGAAAACTGATTCATCAGGGTTTCTGCTTAGTTTGAATATTCAACCCTGAGGCCTCAGTGTACAATGTTCTCGAACCCTGCTGAAATTGTCATTAACAGAGCACACAATAACAAATTTACAGTTTCGACAGTTGGCAATCGGGAATCCCGGGTTACGGGGTAGGGGGCAGGCCCTCAGATATCAGCGTAAAACACGCTGATTAGGCTGATTTTGTAGCTGTGGTTTTCGTTTTCCCTGAAAATTCAGCATATGCTTCAATTTTGCACTGAAATTTCAGTATAACCTACCTTGCCACACTGACCATTTTGCGTGTTGCTGTACGAGTAACACTGACGAATCAGTATAGTGAGGTGAGTCACACTGAAACGGACTTGACCGCGTGGGGGAAGGGGGGGGATAGGGTACGCCTGTACAGTCTGTGTACCTTCGCGTGATTCACGAAACCCCACCCACACACTTGGAATTTTTTCCCATGCGCTCTACGGACAGCTGGTGCGCGCCGAACCGTTTTGCCTCGCTAGAAACTATCACAACACAACAGCTTTGTTGTTTTTTTTACACTGATGGTTCAGTATACTAAGGATTTTTACACTGACGAAATCAGTATAAACAAAACCATGAACGCTGATTTGGACACCAGGTTGGCCGGGGCACGCTGATCCATCAGCATACCCTCAAACCAATCTGAGGGCCTGGTAGGGGGGTTAGGGGGGGGGGGGAGGGGGGTGGCTGGTACTCGCTTCAGGGTAAAACTCGCTAAGAGGATCGGCAACACTGTGGCGACAGTGTGCCTTATTCGTAAACCCTGGCACATCAGGGAAAATCAAGGTCCCAAAAAAATTACCATACGGCATCAGTGTTACACCCAAAAACCACCCTGATAATCAGGGTATCAGGGTGATTTACCCTGATAAAATAGGGCCTGATACCATCTCAAAGTTAGCGAACAACGGAATGCTTGACTAGAAAGGAGTTGGGGTACAACTAGGAAACCCTAACATGTTTGTACTCACTAAGGAGCACCTCACTACAGCCTATCACAAACATCAACATTTGACACTTGCTTGTCCAATGTCCATCCACCTTCACAGTGCCCCTGACTGTGTCTTTCCAACGTGCTGACTTGCATCGGCTGCTCGCAAGGCGTCCCCAATGACCTGCCCCATGTGGGCAAACATGAGGTGTGAGAGGAAGCGCTGGCGCACCTCCCCCCGCCCCCTCATACCCATCTGGCGACGCAGGCTTGGGCGGCGCAAGAGAAGGGCGAGGTGGCGTGCTAAGAGCGGCACTCCCTTGAAGCGCACGGGGTGCAGCAGGCCTGTGACGTTGTGCCGCACTATCTCTGCTGTGCCCCCCACTGCCGTGCCAAGGACCTGAACCAGCGTGGCACACACAGGAATAACAGGCAGATTGGCACTCGGCGAGGGGTGGAGAAGTGAGAGACTGGTATGAGGGGTTGGCAAAGTGAGGAGGCAAAAGCAGGGTTGGGAGTAAGCACACAAGCATTGAGAGCAAGAGAGAGAGAGAGAGAGGAGGGGAAGGTAGTGGCGGAACACTGACGGGCAGTTGGAAGGCCATGGCTTCCACCGTGACACGCCCAAACGTCTCCCCAATGCCCTGCACGCACACGAGCCAACGGAGAAAGAAGAACGGTTTCTGAAACAGTATGAATGGAATGGCAATGGCATGCATGAGGAACAAGGTCACACGGCCCCAAAGCAGAACCGTTTCTGAATCAGTATCTTTGCTGCCACAAAGCACGCTGGCCCATAAGCACACAACCCAGACCTTCTTGAAGTGTCATGCCCATGCCACCCGGCGCTGCTTCTTCCTGCAACCAGTGCGCATCGCCCCCCAGCAACAGCACTTGTTACCTGTGCGTTCATGACGTAGGCATCAGCCGCAGCGTACAGTGGCGCCACCTTGAGTGTGGCATTCACCCACACTATGCCGCCCGCCTTCACCTGTGCAGCGACGTGGGCATGGCCCATGCGCTCGCGCACGGCCTCCGCCATGCGCACTATGTACTCGCCCTTGTTGCTCTTGCCGTTCATCGCCCCCACCACCACTATCAGCCGCCGCCCGCGCCCGCGCTGCTGTGGTGGGGGGAGGGCGCGTGGGAGCGCCAGGGCACGGCGTGGCTGCACATCCGCCACCTGCACCGCCTCTCCCCGCCCACTGCCCTCCTCCCCCTGCCCATCCTCCTCCATGCCCACCTCGCCCGCCCTGCCCTGTGCTGCGAGCGCACCACCCCCCATGCCCAGCTCGCCCCTGGACGCCCACACCTGCAGTGCAGCCTGCAGCAGCCCCAGCTGCCCCTTGCCCGGGTTCACGGAGCTGAGGCACAGCACCACCATGTCCCCGCGCCGCGCCCCTATGCGCGCCCGCACCCGCCGCCGCATCTCCGCCCTCGCTGCTGCTGACGCCGCTGCCAGATCCGCTGCCCCGTTCCCCTCCCCCTCACCTCTACCCTCTCCCATGCCCTGCCCTGCTGCTGCTGCCGCTGCTGACGTTGTGAGAGTGGGCAGAGGGAGGGGAGAAGGGGGGAGCAGAGGGGCAAGGCCTGCCATGACGGCGAGTTCTGCGTTGATGGACAGCGGAATCACGTGCTGCTTGCCAGGCAGCTGCAGGCCCTCTGCTGCCGCCCATGCACGCCACGTGGCTGCCTGGGAGTGGGAGATGAAGATGAGGGTGCTGACACGTGGCAGCAGGGGCTTGGCCTGGTCGAAGTACTCGCGTCGGTTCTCCATGAGCCACCACACGAGGCGCTGCCCACACGCGTTCACCCCGCCTGCGTGGCCCGCCATGGGCAGAGATGTGTCAGTGGCAGTGCTGCCGTCCATGCCTGCTGCTGTGCCCTCGCCCCCACTGCCATCACCACTGCTGCTCTTGCCACTGCTGCCAATGCTGCAAGTTGCCAGGTATGCGCCTGCAGGGGGGGGGAGGAGAGAAGCAAGATGGAGGGCATATGGGCTGACAGCACTGCAGTGAATTCCAACTGCAGCGAGCGTGCAGGGTGCAGGGCGCACATGCATGTGCTGCGCGCCGCTCACTGGCTCAGAAGAGTGAAGAGGCATGCAAGAGTGGGGCAGTGCAGCGCTCTCACCGATCCATGAGGCAGCGGTGGCGGAGCTAGCGATGACCACGTGAGCAGCCATGGCAGCGCGCCAGCTCTCACTGCCCTTGCTCTTGAGCACGCTGAGCCCGCGCCTCTGCAGCTCCGGCAGCAGCCCGCCCTTGCGGTTCAGCAGCAGCACGTGCACGCCCGCCCCTCCCACCACCATGCCCGCCTGCTCCAACGCCGCCATCTGCCGCTGCTGCAACTGCTGCCGTCGCTGCCGCCGCCGCAACTTCTGCTGCTCCATGCGCTGCTGCCTCTGCTGTGCGCGCTGCCCCTTGTCTGCTCTTCCTCCTCGCGCATCCTTCCTACCCCTCCCTCCTGCTCGCTGCGCCCCCTGCTCCACAACCCGCCCCAACAGCCGTCGCAAGTTCAAGCGTGCATCCGAGCAAGTGGCATTGCAGCCCTCCCGTGCCGCCCGCTCCCTGCCCCCCTCGCCCTCACTAGCCAGCAAGCGCCGCCGCTGTGGCACAAGCGTGGCTGGCTTGCGTGGGAGAAGGCGGGGGCGGGGGGCGGGGGCAGGGCGGGTGCAGAGCGCCACCTCCTCCGCCAGCTCCATGCCCGCCAGCGGTGCTCCCGTGAGCGACGCCTCGTGCAGCACCACCACCACCGACCGCCCCTCCACCGCTGCCCTGAACTCACTCCCCTGCCGGCACTGCCGCACTGCCGCAGGTGACGATGGCGATGCAGGTGGCGGTGTGCGCATGCCGAAGGCGCTCAGGCCATGCGCCACCACTGCCTCCTCCTCCATGCTGTCAAACGGACCCGCCCACCCACCCAACCCCCTCACCGCTGCTGCCTCCCCCTCACTCGCGCCTTCGCCCTCCCCCTCGCTCTCGCCGTCCCGCCATAGCCCGCCTGCCACATCACGCTCACCCCTGCCACCACCGGACTCACCTGCGCTGCCACCTTCCCTGCGCGCCCCTTCGCCCTCCTCGTCCTCCTCCTCGTCCTCCTCCCACCCCGCGTCTCCACCCATGCTCGTCCCGCCATCGCCACCACCGCCCGCTGCACCCACATCCCAACGCCCTTCCCCATCTGTCCCATTGCTGCCCTCTCCCTCTTCGCCCCCATACCCACCGCCTGCTGCACCCACATCCCAACGCCCTTCCCCATCTGTCCCATTGCTGCCCTCTCCCTCTTCGCCCCCATACCCACCACCCGCCCCTTCCCCCTCCACCCCTGTCCCCCCTCCCGCCACTCCTCCACCATCGGAGTCGTTGCGGCTGCCCCCGGCTCCCGCGGGCACGGGCGTGGCGGGGGCCCCGTGTGAGCGGGCGCGCGCGTCGGGCAGGAGGTGGAGGAGGGGGCGCGCGGGGAGGGCGTCGTCGCCCTGCATGAGGCGCGCGCTGCCCGCCACCACGGCCAGCGCCACCGCCGCCGCCAGGAACAGCCTCAGCGACAACGGCAACCCTTGCGCGCTCTTCGCCTGTCGCCCACTGCCCTGCAGTCTGCTGCTGCCAGCACCCGCGCTGCTGAGGCCGAAGGCGCCTCGGCGTGCTCCCGGGCGCGAGCGGCCCGGGCACCAGGCCGCCAGTCCGCTCAGCACCCACCCCCACGTGTCGCTGCCTCGCCGCCGCATCGCCTCCCCTTGCCTCAGCCGCATCCGACGCCGCGATATCGGCGCCGATCCCACCACTCCAGCCGCCCCTCCGCCTTCCCGCAGGTTCGCCGACTCGCCCCCATCATCCGCCACCAGCCCCGCGCCCGTCCCTCTAACCCCCCTACCGCCGCTCCCCCCGCTCGCCCCACTGCCGGACTGCACAGCTGCGCCGCCTCCCATGGCGTCTCTATCGCCGCCGCTGCCGGCGGCGTGGCGCGTGGGGCGGGAGCTGGGAGCAGAGGCGCGCGAGACAGAGGTGAGCACGCGATGATCGGCGGTGGCTATTCCCGCACACGGCTGGCCTTCGTCGTCTACCTTTGCCTTACCCATGGATGCACGCGCGTGGCTCGTGCGTGAAAATGCTGGGAGATATTTCCATCAGACCAAGGTTGCAGACATGAAGGTTCATGAGGGTTGTAACAGCGGCACGGGTAAGGACGCGGCACCTCTAGCAATTTTGCACGATCGATCTCAGGATCGAAGATTCCACCGCACTGAAAACCTGCTGAAAGCATTTACAGTTTTCAGCACCATTTCAAACTCCTCACGGCACCATTTCAGCTGATACGGAGTGCGCAGATACGGGTAACGCCGCTCACTGAGCGGACCGACCGTGCAAAATGGTGCTAGAGGTGCCGCGTCATGAGCTGCGCACCATTTCAGCTGAAAACTGTAAATGAACAAGAGTGCGCAGATACGGGTAACGCCGCTCACTGAGCGGACCGACCGTGCAAAATAGGCGGGGACCTGAAAGACCAAACGAGGTAGCCTCGGAGTCGAGGTAACGGCCGGACCTGATTTTTCCAAATCAGTTCGTACGCGATGCAGTACAAACCCAGTAACGGTAGTTGCATTTCTGTGAGCAGAATTGTTATGAGCTATCGTTGCGGCGGTGCGATCAGTATTGTCGGTTGATCTTGCGGAGGGTGATGCATAGCGGAAATTATTAGCATCATGCGCCACTATTGTGCATTTATGCCTGAATGGAGGCCCTGCAAGGCGCTACTCCGACAACAGGAAGCTATTTCAGAAGCCTCCATCTACTCTGCCCTCTTCGTCGAACAAGACATGGACACTCACAAGAAGCGTCTTGCGCTGCGACGAAATATATGATAATGGTTGATCGCAGGGTGATGCACAGCGGAAATGATTAGCGTCCTGCGCCTGCCTGCATCCGTCTCGATTTGACAACCGTCTTCGTCGCTTCTGTTCATATCGACCCTTGGTCTTCGTCCTTAGTAGGGTAGTGTGTCGCCTTTGATATGTACAGGAATGTTTGGTTTAATTCCTTATCGTAACACCCCCCTTCATTCCTGGGCGGAGCAGGTTCTGTCTCGCTTGACCACTCCGCTGTTGGCACAGTGCTTTTACTGCCGTCGTGGAAGTCGCTTCGTGAGGAAGTCGCCTGCCATGTCACAAGTGGGGCAGTACGTGAACCTTCCTTTCGTCCTTGACGAAGAAATATCGCAGCGCGATAAGCTTCGTCCGGTTAACGAAACCAGACGTGTTCGCGAACTCGATCGCGCTCTGGTTGTCGTAGTGAAGGCGGAAGTTCGGTGACGTCTCAATTTCCGCCTCTTGCAAGAGTTCCTGCCAGTGCTTACTTTATCATACAAAAATTATCTGATTGTCTGGCATCTCAGAGTATTTTTCACAGTGGTCCTGCTTTTTCAGAGTTGGGTGATTTTCACGCATGATGACTTCAGACTTATACTTTTCTGAATACTGAGAAAATCAAGGTACTAACTAAGCGGATAATAGGTCGTCATACTACATAGCATACAGACCCCGAAATGCGAATCTAGGGTTTCTACAACGTGTCATGTGTTCCCGTACTACAAAAACAACCACCACCCTGTCACATACAAAATCTTATTTGTAAGTATTTTGCCGCCCGTTTTCCCACAAAATGCAGCCAAATTGTCGCGCTGTATCAATACCGTGGCAAAATTGCCGCAGCCACGAGGTGTCAGCAAGGGAAAAACTGTGTGCTGGAGTAGTCAAGTCCCTTCGCACTGCGACGTGCACGGCACAGAAGTGGCAGTGCTGTACATCGAAGTCTGATTTTGCCTTGTCAAACCTGAGCACTCAGACTTGTACTTTTTTGAAACCTGAATAATCATAGTAGTATTGTTTTTGGATAATTTGCCTTGGACTACCCCCCCCCTCCCCCCCCCCCCCAAGTTTATATATATATAACGTCAGCCCTGGATCCTGCTGATGGAGGCCTTCGCGAACTGTAGCGGTGGCGGCGATGAAGTCAGCTTCGGCTGACGACAGGGTAACTAGCTCTTGCTTTTGGGAATTCTAAGAGATTGGTCCCGTCAGCTCGAGTCGGAAGAGGAAGTCGGTCCGCGACCGTCAATTATCAGGATCAGCGGCGTAACTGGCGTCCACGTAACCGACGAGGTTGAAGGACTGAGTTGTGAGCGTTGATTAGGAGAGGCCAATGTTGGGCGTGGAGATGACGTACTGTAGGGCACGTTGCAGGTCCAGAAGGTTTTCTGCTACTGGTTTGCATGAGTACTGCGGAAGCTGGCTTGCAATGTAGGAGAGATCAAGCCTGCCTGTGACGGAGGCGAACAGCAGGCAACCCAGTTGTGGTTGGATCCAGGCGTGCGGTAGGGAGTTGAGAGTGGTGCAGATGAGATGTTGATGCGCTCCCCAAGCATTTCAGCATACATTGAGGCCGAAAGGTGAATGGCTTCGGGAGCGTAGGAGATGTTGAGACCTAGGAACTGCGTCACGTTGTGGTTAGTGGTGATGTCGACGGGACTCCATAGGTTCCTTTCGAACTGATCGAGCAACGTGTTGCTCGCCCGTGGGTACAACATGTCGTCGACATAAACGGTGAGCAGGATGTAATCACCGCAAGAAATGAAGGCGGTACATCCCTGGGTCATGTAGTAGCTCCGTGAAACCAATTTCGAGCAGGATTTTATGCATGTGCTGCTGCCACAGTCGCGGTGCTTGCTTGATGCCGTACAACGAATTTTTGACCTAACAGACCCTGGAGTCCCCATTCGCTATAGGTATGCTGTTGCTCCAAGAGATTACAGCGTCGACTAATGTGTACAGAAGCGAAAATTTCACATCGATTTGTTGGAGTGGGAGGTTTTTGTGTGTTTGTTTTAATTGTGTGTGTGTGTTTTTTTTTATACTATAAAATGCATAGACATTCTCAGTCGTAACTGTATGCTTGGAAAGCTATGGTGCTTCTTTGTCAAGCTATGGTGTTTATAAATAAACATCGCGCCCCCCCTGACGTTTAAGGCGGTCTGTGGAACGTCCTGGGGTTGCGCCATATGAATAGAAATCTATGCTTCTACGTGGCCTGTCCTCCCGCCTCGCTAATGCGTGACACCGCCATCCGCTTGTCATCCGCCACGTATTGCCACGGATCGTGTGGTTCACGCCGTGGGCCAGCTACCCCCCTTCTCCGCTCCAGGTCAGCCTGGTACACCATGCATGCACCGTAAACTCTCTTAGCGCCCCGTTCGCCACTTTCTTCGATTGGAAACTTTCCCTCCCCCATACCGCGTTGCAGCGAGCCAACCGGATATGCTGCTGCGTTACGCCAATCAGCGGGCATTCTGGAAAACCAGACGGTGTGCTGCCATTTTGTTACTCGGCGAGCGAGTCCGTCTTCCTCTCCGGGTCAATTGCATGAAGTGAGGCCAGGAGCTCGCCGATGACCGGATGAATCACCGGGCAGCTGAAAACACAGTGAACTAGGGTTTCCGGGTCTCCGCAGTGTGGGAAGACCCCCCTTTCCCCCAAGAAAACCAATCTCTCCCCCACCTGCAGGTTATTGCCGTGCACCCTGCGTAGAACGTCCCTCGCTCTGAGAGGGGTAACTAGCATGTCTTTGCGACGCTGCACCTGCTCCCAGTCATTTTTATTTCCCCAGTCTGCTTCCCACTCGTTCCGCCTTCTCGACTCTTCCATGGCGCCCTTGAGCATGAGCTTGATATCCCTTACGGGCGCAGGCTTCAATTCGTCGGTGATGAGGCACGATTGACGGAGACGTGCGCTGGGTGAGCCCAGCTCTCCCAATACTGCCCGGCTTCTGACCGCCAGCAGTATCACCCTTTCCACCATGCGATCCCCGCACACCTTGAACGAAGGTGCCTCCACCGCCCTCCCTTCACCGCAGAGTATATAGGTCGCTGGCACCTTCTTTTCGGACACTCCTTGCACCGTCCAGTGAAAGGTAGATTGGTTGCATCAGTCAATCGTGCGTACCGTGGTAGTCACCGACGCAACTGCCGCTACCGTGCGTGGTATTGATAACATCGCCTTCCACTCTTTTGGTGTCGCATTAAACGCTTTCTGCGCCTAACTGGCCACCGCGACCCTGCCCATTTCGGCTATCAACACCTCGTCCTTCAGATTTTATTCCCCGTCTGGCCCTTCTGTGAGCAGATCCCTGAGACGTGTCGTGCTAATTGCGTCTGTGCCCTTCTGATTCCCAAACGGGTTCACCCCCCGGAACATGATCTTCCGATTAAAGCAAAGGAGTTCGCGTTCGATTTCCTAGGCGCTCGTTGGGTTAGGGAGTTGTGCATACGTCGAGTCCCATAAGATTTCTGCCGCGTCTTTCCACCAGTGGCTTCTCGCCACCCAATGTTTGCCATGGATTTGTGCACGTAGAAAGTCGACAGCCCCTGCAGCAGTGCTGCTGCCTTCTCCGCTAGCCATCTCTTTGTGACGTTGCTTTCGATAACCAGCTTTCCGACTCTCCAAATAGCGAGACTGACTAATCTTGCCTTCGGGTCCACCAGCCCCAACCCCCCTAGCCTCCTTGGCAGGCGCGCCGTCTGGCCGCTCCAGAGTGCGAATAGGGATGGCCGCCGCATATGTAGTTGTGGCACAACTCCTTGATCTTTTTCCATATCTCGTCCGGCGGCGGGTACACCTGAGCTTGGAATCAAAATTTCTAGATGATGTACCCGTTGACCACCGTGTCCCTCACCATTGTTAACAAGTGTTGGTCCTCCCACATTGCCAATTCGCACGCTCCCCAATCCCATGCTTTTTCCCAGTACGGCGCAGGGTCCCCGTCCTGTGTGATCCAGATCCCGAGCAGGCGTTTCGGCGTGCCGTCCGCCGCCCATTTGAAGCTTGTGTCTGGCGGTGCCGACATTCCCTTGTTCCTCCCCAGCGGCATAACCACCGACTTCTCTTTGTTCGTCCGCAGCTCGGACCCTTCCCCGAAGACATCCAACGCTTCCGCCGCCGCTTTGAGCTACCCCGCACCTCGTAGTAACAGGGACGACACAAGCTCTCCGCCTTCCCCACTGATCCCCAGCTTTCTTTTCTTGATTTCT